CGCCGACCTATAAATATAGCCGTCGGTCGTCGGATCGGCCTGGTATCGCGTATCCGCTGAAGTTCTGCTCCCCACCGATGCTGACGAGCTGAACAGTGAACGGTCTGAATGCATATCTCTGCTCGATTGGCTCGCTCTCTCTTCTGCGCCCGCCAACATCAGGGTCAACCTCAGGTCACTTTGATGACCATGGGTGACCTTTGTGCATTACGGGTTATATATGTATGAGGCTCTAATCTCGAACCTTGACAGTAAACCAGCATCTTTTTCGTGTGATGTGTGCGAAGAATGGACACGAGGCTATTCAGAATTTGGGCTCGACCCGTTCATGAGTAACCTTAGCACCCCCTGAGCTCATATTTACATATTCGAGAAAAGGCTTAGGAAGGTTGCAACTTGCATCAACCCACCTCACTATGCCAAAAACATTCAAGAAGGTCGTCGCATTAGATCACCTTGTTAAATATGAATTGCATGACGTCGGGCTACCATCTGTGTCGTAATGAAGCTGAATCGATCTCGATACCGGGGATGGAAAGCTCGATGGGCGGCGTGGATGGCGTGTTGCCGGCTGGCGCCGCCGTCCCGCGATGTTGACATGGCCCACTTGCCGAGGGCGGCGCCAGTCACGTGAGCAGGTGCTAATGGGCTGCTGGTGGTGGTGGTGCTCCCCGGCCACCTGGACCCGGTCACCAGTCGACAGAGGCGGCGGTGCGGGGCGCACCTGCAGCGAGCTTCTGCTGCGCCCCCCCAGACGGCGGCCATCGACCGCAGCCTTGTGTGTAGTCGGACCATCGGCGCAGTGCTTCGCAGAGTACGAGTTCGTCGGTGACGGCAGACGGTGACGGTGGTCCTCTGGACAACGGCTGGTAGTGGTAGTCTGAAACGGCAGACAGGGGTCCTCCTGAAACGACAGGCAAAAGGTCCTCCTGGTACGGTGGACAGTGGTTTATCGGGAACAACAAACGATGTTCCTCCTCAGGGCGACAGACAACGGCTCCTCTTGAGACTGTACATACATAGACAAGCCTGAGGCCATTGCTGTTTGAGTACACTCGGGGGCAGATTGATGTTCTACAACTCTTTATCCACCGGGTTCCTATGGCTCAGCATTGGCAGCAGCCGCCTGGTACCGGTAGACTGTGCCGCTTCACTTACTTGTCAAGCGGCACAGCCTACCCAACCGTATGACACCGGTCTGGGTCGGTGGCTGGAAGGTGATGTGGGCCGCCTGTGACGTCAGCGCAGCGGTGAGTGCCGACCCCGGGGGCATGGCTCGGGTCGGCGCGGCGCGGCGGCTGGCGAGGGCTGGGGAGTGAGGTGGGGTGGGAGCACGGACATCGCGCGGCTGAGCGAGTGTAGTTAATTTTCGCGTCTCAAGCAGGGTTGTATACGACTCAATCAATAGCAATCAATTCAATCACGACAAATTTGGGAAACCAATCAAATCAATCAAGTCAGAGCAGTTTTCGGGAATTGATTCAATCGACTCAAACGCGACAATGAAAGGAATCAATCAACTCAATCAAACGACTCAAACCAAGATATACATTAGGTTTTTTGCCCCACCAACTTGGAAAAGTGTCCATAGCAGTCTGGTGTACCTACCTACCTACCTACCTACCTACAGAAGAAACAAAAATATTGTCATTTAAAATTATAAATTGCCATGACATTCAAAGTTTTTATGTAATAAGGAAGGATACCTAGTGATGGACAGGTGGATCATGATATTGAGGTTCAATGGGTAGAATTGGAGCAGAAGTTTCATTTAATGGGTGCAAAATAACCCAGTAGTTGACTTCAACAAACGCCCCTTAACCCAAATCACCACCTTTCACCTAAAAGTTGTCAATTTAATTTTGGCCATATTCCAGCTAAGTCATCAGGCCATCTACCCCATGTAAAGCCCCCGTCTGTCTCTTATATATGTGAGTTATGCGGAGCTCTTCTGAATTGAACCCTGAACATAATGAACCTAGCTAGGTTACATGCCACACTGACACCATATTGATATGAAAGTGTTGAAAATGTGCTATAAATTTGACAACTTCATTAGGTATGCTTTATGAAGACAGCAGGAAAGCAGGTAGGTACCTACTTACCTGCCTAGATGTGTCACTGGCTACCAACAGTACCAACGAAGGTAGATAGGTTATATGTGAAGAATTCAAAACATTTTATTGCAATACAATTTGAAACTGTTAGGACTGGGGGATAGGGATGAGCATTAAAATATATTTAAAAGGAAATGGAAAGGACAGGGACTCTGGAACCACAGGATAAGTTAAGGACAAAGGAAGAAGAACAATGAAAATTAAATGCCGTTGGTGCGACTGCGAAAAAACAAAGAAAACGTTTTGCCAAGAAGTATGCTAAGCTTTTATAAATCCTTATTCTTCGTCTTTTGATTTTTTGGTAAGATGACGTCATTGATTATCATGTAGTATGGTAGATCATCATAAAATAAATCGGTTGTACAACACCAATTTCGTTTTAATTATTATTTCAATTGAAATAAAACCACTTAATAATATTCGGTAAAATATTTTAAGGAAAATGAAATATGTTATGCCTAGGCTCTCAGGAGAAAAGGATCAACAAACGTTCTGCTGCAAATTAAACAATGCAGCAAATTAGCTATTAATGTAAACGTAATTAGCGAGACGAAAACGGCGCTTTTGTTTCAGCTATTTTTGTAGGGGTTTCAGATATTTATAGAGTTCAGTGGGTTGTTTCTGAGGAGATGTGGAGATGTGAATTAGTAATTAATCACACTTTATTAGTATATAGGGCCTTGCACTTTATCATCTGGATTAAAAAAAAAATTCCTGCTGAGTGCAGAAAGGTAGGTAGGTGCATCGCCAGGTTCTATCACAGGATTGGACTCAATTGGAGCAGTTATTGCAGTTGAAAGTCAAAGTTGGCTGTTCATGTTTAGGCCCTGTTCTTTATTTGGCCATCTACTCCATATTGCAGTTGTGATGACAAGCAGTTTTCAGTGTAGTTTTGTGATCTTTGATGTCATCAATTGGTGTCATTATTTTTCGTCAACTAAAACTTATTTCAACTTTCCATTCAATCGACTCAATCATACGAGTCACTCTAATTTTCGGGAATCAAATCAGTCAACCAGTCGCTAAAGTCAAACGAGTCAGTCAACCAGTCATCTCGAAAAGTCAATCGACTCAATCCAATCAACTCAAAATACGCGCTGAATCAAATCAATCAATTCAATCGACTTGATTGGTATACAACCCTGGTCTCAAGGCGCCAATTATTCTACCTAACGATTGTGCTAAAGCAGTTGTTAAAATGTCCTATCCCCAAGACTCGCCTATCATCATACTTGCAATGCACATTACGACACACTTAACGTGGCAATGGGACAGCCGATAGAACTTATGTCACTCGTGCATCGAGGTGCGGAGCTATATTTTGTATAACATATTAGTGTTAAGGCCTTGATTGAGCATATTGGTGTCTATTGTTTCGCACGGCAATCGTCCAGACCAGAGACGTGGGAACTGGGGGTTATGAGTAGTGCCGCAGCCAACGCCCCAATTTAAAGCGATTATTACTGTTGCTCTAATATGTGGTCACAGCCCCCAATAGCAAACCGTTCCAACTAGGAGCCAAAAAGTCGGCCTCTCAGGGGGGTTCGAACCGGGCTTCTCCCACTGGCCAATTCACGACACGAGCGTTCCTCCACTGAGCTACCGAGAATGGTCCTCGTCTGCACAAAACAAAATGACATTCACCCGCTGACCGCCAATGACAGTAGGTATTGTGACATTTGATCGCGTTTGACCGCGGCGGGTGGTCGCTGGTATCGGCAGCTCAGTGGAAACACGCTAGCGTTGTAGGGTGACCGGTTGGAGAAACCCGGTTCGAACCGTTCCAGGTGCGTGACTTATTTGTTCCTAGATGGAACGGTTTGCTATTGGTGGCTGCGACCACACATTAGAGGAACAGTAAGAGTTGCTTAAAGTTGGGACGCCGCGCTATCCAAAAATCCTAGTTCCCACGTCTCTGGAGGACGATTGCTGTGCGAAATAATAGACACCAATGAGCTCAATCAAGGCCTTAATACTTATCTGTTAAAAACAATGTAGCTCTGCAACTCGATGCACGTATGATATAAATTCTATCGGCTGTCCCAAGGCTGTCCCATTGCCACGCTTAAGTGTGTCGTAATGTGCATGGCAAGTATGATGATGGGCGCTGTCTTGGGGATAGGACATTTTAGCTACTGCTTTAGCACAATTGTTAGGTAGAATAATTGGCGCCTTGAGACGCTCGCTCACCCGCGCGATGGTCCGTGCTCCCACCCCACCTCACTCCCCAGCCCTCGCCAGCCGCCGCGCCGCGCCGACCCGAGCCATGCCTCCGGGCTCGGCCCTCACCGCTGCGCTGACGTCACAGGCGGCCCACATCGCCTTCCAGCCACCGACCCAGACCGGTGGCATACGGTGTGGGTAGGCTGTGCCGCTTGACAAGTAAGTGAAGCGGCACAGTCTACCGGTACCAGGCGGCTGCTGCCAATGCTGAGCCATAGGAACCCGGTGGATAAAGAGTTGTAGAACATCATTCTGCCCCCGAGTGTACCTTATCGATGCCGAGCTTGCATCCTATTGATGCATCGGATTCTAGTATCGCTGTAAGATCCCTGAACATTGAACAAGTAACCACAAGAGTCGATAGTCGCATGAGCATGCTGCCTGTCACAAACAAATATCAGAAAAAACAGCAGCAAATGTCGGCGAGAAGACATTGAAGCAATTATAATTAATTTTGTCGACACGAGAGATCTCGCCTGCTATTCAGCATCGATAATTTTCAAGGCTGAATCTAAGAGAATCTGTTGTCTATCGCAAGATAATGCAGAACCAAATGATCTTCGAAGAATCTGGCGCATGTGGGGAGACGGACACCGATACAGATCTATCGGTAAGTCAGCCGGATTCACCCCATCAGTGGGCAACGTATATTCTCCCATCATGGCTATGCTGAATGATGTCCTTATAGTTTTACCTTCGAAAGTGAGTCTTTCTTACATTATCGCACACCCCACGGATCCAGAACAATGTCATATCCTCGAACCCTTTGTCCGTGCTACCAGAGCAGCCATCCCGATAAGCGGAGGTGCTGCTTGGGGATGAACACCAGGGTATTCCTCATCCTTGGAGGGCAATCAACGGACGCCTGAGCCCGACGAGGCTGTGCGCCCTAACCCAAGACCAAGACCAAGACCGGAGCTGCCCGCTCGGCTCCCACCGGGCGTTCCCTGCATCCCACGGGCCACGCATCCCCAGGGCCTCCCACGGGCCTCCCACTGCATTTCACAGTGAGGCCTCGCGCGGTACGGACCGGCCTCAGCGGTCCCAGCTTGTTTGGAAACTGGATTAGTGGCTTAGAAGTTACGGAAGGTTAACATTTACGTTAAAGCCGAGAGACGGTTTTTCAAACAATATCGAATCAACAGGTTCATAAGACACTTAAGATGATTAGATTAATAACTTAGAAAAAGTGGGTACTTTATCAACAGTTTCGAAAATGAAGCACTCAATATAATTGGGCCGTCACCTACCTACTGGCTACTTATCGCATAAATAAAAGTTGCACGGCCTACTTCTCGTGTAATTGTACTAATATATGAATATACTACATGGGGAAGCGCCGGTAGCGGGCACGACTAAAAATTATTGCGCAATGTGACGTCACTGTAGCCCGAGGGTGAAGACCGAAACATGCTTTAATAATGCTGGTTGAGGTATTCGCGCCCAAGGCCTACAGTGGCGTCATCGCCCCTACCCGGTACAGTATTCATTTTATTACATGGCCCACCCCAACCCGCTAATAAATGTTAAATATTGTCGCTGTTCAGAAGAAAGTTGAAAAGGATTCAAACACGCAATTGCCCGTTAACATGCTGTCGTTTCAAATGTTCAGTCCCTCAAAAGAAAATTAAAAGGGAAAACTGTGGTGGTTAACAGTCAAAGTTATTACACAACCAAAATTAACATACGAGCCATGTAATGTACCTAATAGCATATACTTCTCTACTACCTATGTGATGTTAATAAACCTTGATTTGCCTCGGAGCTAAAGCTTTTATTGTAAAAATCGGCTGTTGATTTTGGGGAATACCTATATTGAGGAAGAAATCGGTATGCAAGGCAGACATCAAGGAAATGCCCCAACCCAATACAGGGTCCCAACGTGTTATCTTTATTTCATTCACAACGCTACGAATGGAATGCTTTTTGGAAAGTTGTAAAGGGCAAAGCTGACGCTATGTGCACACTGCACATATGTCATATGTTATGACATAAAGGTATAGGTGAGTCATGGATGAACTCGACACAATACGGGTGTTGTGAATTATCTGCTGTAAGTATTAAGGCGCTAGACTGGCACTGGCACTAGGGTTACTTTCTAGGTTTTCGTCACGAATGCGGGATCCATTTTAATTTAAGCAACGATTCTGATGCTCAGGAGAACTAAAAATAAGGAATTATAGTGGCCGAGTAGTGAAGCTCAACTAACCTCTTTACGAGTATAGTCCCATGCATTAGGTCCCCGGCTCTGGCATTTCTGGATGTGTGCACTGTCTTCTCGAACAGTAAAGCTCACCATATTCGTTCGTAATATTTGTAGGGGTAGGATCGACTCGGCTTTCCTTTTATAGAGTATTTTTTTATCTGTGGCAGTTGCGCACGGAATGCAGTACCTATACGTACATACCTGGTGCTGGTATAACTGTTATACCAAGTATCTCGCGTCGCAACGCACTACTGTGTCCACACACGTAACACATAAAGGTACACACACAAAAAAAACCTGAAAAGTGGTCAAAAACGCCCCCAGCCACACACTCGCATACACAGTACACACAGGGTCTTTTCATGCCAAGTGCCGTAAATATGTTTTGGCGGGATGAAGGCCACTGTAAACGGCTATTAAATGTTCCAATGCCTCGCGTTTTTTCACATCTCTCGCTAACGGCTGCCGTTCTGTCGCCGCAGGAGAGCTGGCGGAGCGGCGCAGAGGGCTCCGAGGAGCTGCTGCGCGTGCTGCGTGAGACCGTGGAGCCGGCGGCGCTGGAGCGGCACCTGCCGCAGCTGCTGCACCTGATCGGCTCGCTGCTCGGCTCGGACAACTTCAAGGTGACGCTGTCGGCGCTGGAGATGTACCGGGTGCTGGCCGACCGGCTGCAGCTCGCGCTCAGCCCCCTGCTCAGACAGGTAGTGGACGCGCTGGTCGGCCAGCTCGGCAGCGGCCGGCTGGTGGTGCGCACTGAGTGCTACCGCGTCTGGCGCCACCTGATGCGTCAGCTGGGCGCCGAGCCGGTGCTTACCCTGCTGCGCGTGCATCTGACGCACCGAGACGCCTCTGTGCGCGAGCACGTGCTCAACGTCATCATCTATGCGCTGCTGACGTTTCCGGCGAGCTCGTTCAACCTGACGCGGCTGGCGGAGCACGTGGCGCCTACTCTGGCTGATGAGAAGCGGCGCGTGCGGCAGGCGGCGCTCGAGTGCGTGGCCCTGCTGGGTCAGCTGGCAGGCTCGGCTGGCAGCGGGGCGCTCACCGAGGCCTGCCAGCGCCTGGAGCGGGCCGGCCACGCGGGTGTCAGCGGCGCCGTGTCGGTGCGTCTGCAGCGGAAGCAGCTGCCGCGGCTGACAGAGGACGGTCTGGTGGAATATTCTCTGCAGCTGCCCGGCCCCAACGGACCGCGCAGCTCTCTGCGCCGGCCTCCCAGCGGTAAGTGCTGCGCTAGCTCCGAGGGATGTTCAGGCCTCAGCTATTTCCGTTTTCATTCTCTGTTTATAACGTAATGCTGGCTTGCTTGCTGAAAGCCATCATTTATGAAATTATACGGCTGTTTTCGGACACCGAAATAAAATCCGTAGCCAGTGGCTGTTGGCCTTCCTAGCGTAGCGGTCGCCGGTAAATACGGCCACATGCGGGCTGCTGCCGTGATCCGTTATGTGATTTATTGTTTGTTTACCCCTGCTGCTTCCCGTTAGCTGACGGTAGCCTGTCGTGGTCTGACGGCAGGGGCCGATGTCGACTGGATCATGCAGGGTCGTGGTCCGACCAGCGCCGGCTCCGGGGGGAGGTTCACGGCCGAACGGCACGTGCTCTTTTCGGACGCACTGCAGCGTCACCAGCGTACCCAGGAGCTCTACTCAGCCTCCTTCCCCACCACCCCCAGCGGGTGAGTAACACTACCATCAGCGGGATAATAATGAGTAACACTATCCTCAGCGGGTAAGTACAGTCGTGTACAGGTTGATGGTCCCCTACTCTTTATCCACCGGGTTCCTATGGCTCAGCATTGATAGCAGCCGCCTGGTACCAGTAGGCTGTGCCGCATGACCCGAGAGTGAAGCGGCACAGTCTACCCACGCCGTTTGACATCGGCTCGGGTCGCCGGGTGGAGCGCTTTGTAGACCAGCTGTCGCGTCAGACCAGCGCGGGGGGAGGGGCTCGTCTCGGTGGTTGGCGTGGGCTGGCGAGTGGTGTGGGGCGTGTTGGTGGACCATGGGGGCTGGGCGGGTGTGTGTGGTCACTTGCTGCATTGCACATTTTGCGTCATTGCATTCCTGTTTTTGCTAAGCACAATGCACGGCAGACCCAGCGAATATAATTTACTTGTGCATTGTGCAAAACGTGATTTGGCATGGTATCGAGGCAACCATAGCTCTTGTGCCACATATATGCATGATATTTAGGCAATTCGCTTATGAAAATGGTAGATTGATCGGATTGATCCTGGATGTCAATTCGTATGCTAAATGTCGATATGTATTAAATGAACGAATGAATGAATCAATCAATCAATCGACAATCGACATGTAGATATAAAACCGTATAAATGGCTCGCAACCACTAAAATCAAACCAGATCCTAACTCGGAAAAGTAGCCGTAGCCCCGATAAGGCTCGAACCGGGACTCCACGTTGAAAGTTTTGCCAATGATCCATCATCATTCCACCAAGCTAGAGCGACCGGCACCCGAGACCACAAAAACATTCATTGACTTTGCTGCCGACCTCCCGGCCCCGCCGCCCGCCCGGCCGGACTTTGCCCCGGCCGATGGCCACCATCCGGTGTAGCTCAGCGTAGGAGTGCTAGACTGTCAAACTGACCGGTAGTGAGAGGCCCGGTTCGACACGCTTCGCGTGCTGGGTGTTTATTTCTGTGTCCGAGGCTATGCAATTAGTCCACTTTTCAGAAACATTATTTGGTGACAGGTCTGTTTTCTTTCTTTGCTGCAATGCATGAGGAGACCGTATGGACCCTTACCTGTCCTTCCGCACCCCACTTGGGAGATGGGTGTTTGAACCCCCCTGGGTTTTGTGAATATCTCTAAAACGAATTTTTGGAGCGTGGATTACGATCGGTTCTATGCGACAAGTGACCACACACACCCAGCCCCAGGTTCGCTCACTCCCTCCCCACATCACCCCCGCCCCACACCACACTCCAGCCCGCCTCATCCACCGAGCCGAGCCAAATAGACAGGCCTGACCCTTACCCCCCCCCCCCCCTCCCCCAGCCGGTGTAACGCAGCGTCCGGTCAAATCGCTCTACCAGGCGACCCGAGCCGGTGTCATACAGTGTGGGTAGGCTGTGCCGCTTCACTCTCGGGTCATGCGGCACAGCCTACCGGTACCAGGCGGCTGCTGCCAATGCTGAGCCATAGGAGCCCGGTGGATAAAGAGTAGGGGACCATCAACCTGTACACGACTGTACCAGCGGCACCAGCGGGTGAGACTACCCTCAGTGACAGCAAGAGCTGTACTCGGCCTCCTTCCCCACCACCCCCAGCGGGTGAGTAGCACTACCCTCAGCGGGTGAATACTGAATAATATTATCATCAGCGGGATACTTATTACGAGCGAGCGAGCGCAGCGAGCGAAGTGAGTCTTTTCAATATAACGGAAAAATCTCAGTATGAGCGGCCCGGCCCGGCCCGGCCCGGCCTGTAACGCTTTTGAGAGGCTTATATCTCAGCAACCGCTGGACCGATTGGCCTGCGGTCTTTTTTGTTGGGTAGCCCCATCCCTTCTACCCCGTAATTGACTACTTTTGATACATCTCAGTGACCGCCGTGGCACGTGCCACGTGAAAAGTCAAGGGTGTTCAAGCAGTTTTGCAAAAGTAATGATTTTGAGAGGCCCATATCTCAGCAGCGGCTTGAGCGATTGTCTTGCGGTCATTTTTATAGGGTAGCTGCATCCCTTCTACCAAAGGTCGGATACTCTTCATCTATGTGAGTGACCCCCACTGCACGTGCAAAATACAACAATAAGAGGTGCCAAATTTGTTCCCATTTCAGTAGCTCGGTAATTACTGGGGCGATTTCGCTGAAACTTGGCATACAGGTAGGCACCCACCAGGCAATGCATTCCCATGTGTTGCGGTTAGGGTGCTACTGCACGTGCGCACGTGCAGGGGGCGTTTCCAGATCTCGAGAACGGCTGGGCCGATTGCGCTCAAATTTGGTACACGGTTGGGGACCAGTTAGTAGGGTGCCGTGCAAAAGTCATTTTGGACCCCGTTTGCACGTGCGCACGTGCAGAATGCCGCTTCCAGATCTCAGGAACGGCTGGGCCGATTGCGTTCAAATTTGGCACACCGCTAGCGACCGGTTAGAAGGATGCTTTGCACAAGCCCGTTGGAAGCACCCTCTCGCCCTTCCGCACGTGCAGGGCTCACTATCTCGCTCGCTCGTTCTTCGCCCAAAAGGCGTTTTACTGGTGAGTAACACTATCCCCAGCGGGTGAGTAACACTACCCCCAGCGGGTAACATTACCACCAGCGGGAGAGAAACACTTCCCAGTGACCAATGGTGAGTTTTACGACCAGTTACCCTCGGCCTCTTTCCACACTACCCCCAATGGGTGGATACTATAGCCGTTTTCACGACGGTCTATCCGGCGAGTGCACCTAATTTGACCAAATCTGCACCTAATCTCTTTTAGAGCAAATATCTTTATTTTATGAATTTATTTCAGTGTTTTAATCGATGATTCTCTCTGATAATATGACAAAGCAGGCATATAAGCAATTAGTGCAACCCTAGGTGATAGCTACCTTTAAACCTTCTCCCCCTTAACCCGCGCCCCGCTGGGGGAGGGGAGCAGAATCTGCCCCCTCCCGTTTTTGCCAGAAACTTCTAAACGCGTTAAGCCAGCGACGTCAAACTTTTATTACCTTATCATACATCAATTTGACACGTTCCCTGAAAAATTTGAGCGAAATCCGTCGGATTTTTTTTTTTTTAGAAAATGACGTTTTAGTGACGTCATTTTCGCCATTTTCGCCTCAAAAACGGCAAAATTTCAAACGCCGCTAACATCTTCATTTTTAAAGGAATCAAGACATAACAAAAAGGTTTTACGTGATTCTACTTTGTCTATCAAATGGCTATCTCGGTTTTTGAAAAGTTTGGATTTTGGTCCAATTTTTTTTTTCTCTAAAAAAACGACTTTTTTGGGAAAATAATTATCAAATCCAAAATTTTGTGTGTATTAAAAAAACGGAATATATTCATATGTCAGAGAAGTGCACCTAGACCTATGCGCACCTAGATAGGTACCAATTTTTAGAAAAATCGTTTCAAAGATGTGGGAGTTATTCAGAATTTTATGAAGTCACAACACACAAAATTTTTGAAAAATGATTTTTTTGGAAGTTCTAGACCTCGTAGGTACGGAAACAAAAATAGCACCATTCGATTCGCCGTAAAAAATGCATCAGATAGACACCTTTTTAGGCCTTAACAACCAACTTCAAAATTTGACCTCACTTGACCTGACCTTGACCTGACCTCGACCTGAAGTTCATCCAGATGTGGTCCATATCACTTATTGAGTGTGCCTATTGAATTCTATGAATAAAATGACCCATAAAACATGTGTCGCACATGACCTTTTCTATATTTTGTTTTTGGTGACCTGAGCTGACCTGACCTGACCTGACCTTGACCTTGACATTTGAATGATATTTTATGCAACGAATATTGTCTTAGTAGCCTAAGAACACGTTTTGGGCAATCAGTCTCCTTTCATTCTTCGGCAACTACGGTGCAAGGCCGATGCTGTAGAAACTTGCATTTTGTACCCTTAACCTGACATTGACCTGACCTCTGACCTACTTAAGCAAAAAAAATTGGGCTCTTTAGATCCGGCTTGTTGAGAGCTTTCGATTGCCGTTTTCCCCGTCTTTCTATACGACCATCGGTTCGGAAGTTAGACAGGGGGGCAGAGTCTGCCCCCCCCCCCCCTCCCAGCAGGGCGCGTATGGCTGAATAGCCCAGCGGGGCGCGGGTTAAGGATCCGATTTTTAGCATTACGCTCCATTTCTTTCTAATGAATAGAAAGAAATAGAGAATGGACCCCAACACTCGGCTGGCTGTCTCACCTTTTGTAGTTGCTCCCTTTCAATCATGCCCCTGTCAATGCTATCATGAGGTATCACCGATACAATAGAGGTCCCCGTCGAGCTATTGTCATTGAGCTGCCGAATACATGATTCACATAATTGTGGAGCCCATTCACGTCTACTCTGCATAAACACTTACCCAAACGATATGCACACATTACACACAAACACAAATGCTCCCTACTGATCGGGCACATGTCTTTACCCCCATTGGTGACCGCATAACTAGATATAAAGGAAATATGACGATATTTGTGACGATATTTGGCGTGTCAACCCGGGTGATTGCAGACTAATATTGCTGCGACTTCTTTTCAGTTATCGTCCCACCCGATGGAATGAAATGCCGATGCTGAGTCGAGCCAAGTCAGATCATGAGATACATCGAGCCAAAAAGGTAAGCACGGTGCCTTGAGCACGGCAAATGTAGTGAGGTTGAAAAGGGAAGGGGTGTTGCATATTTTGTTTTGCAGTGGGAGGAAGCTGAATCCTCTGACTCCCTGCTTCATTCGGTAAGAACGACCTCCGCCATGTGCCTGCTCCGGTGTGTTTTATGTATAATAATAATAAAGAGAATGTGCCGATGCTGAATCTTACTTGATTCAGCCTTGTGACGATGCCTAGTGGGTGCCTACCTACATGCCAACTTTCAGCGCAATTACCGCATGTAAATCGGTCAAGTGGTTGCTCCACGATAGATCGTACCAGGCCCGTCACCCTCATCTCTCAGATTTTAATGAAAATCGGTCCTAGGGGTAATCATAGGCCCCAAAGACGCCTGGCAAAATATCAGACTTCTCAGATCAAAACTTTTTGAGTTATATTGCATCACATTTTTTTAACTTCGGTATGTAACGGTGAGTTTGATGGCCTATAACTCAAGAACGGGTTAAGCAACCAACAAAAAGTAAACCAGTATAACGCCTTTTGGGGCGACTAACGGAGCGAGCGAGAGGGTGGGCCTTGCACGTGCGAAATTGCGAGGGGGTACTTCCAACTGACTTGTGCACGGCACCCTACTAACCGGTCTCTAGCGATGTGCCAAATTTGGGCACAATCGGCCCAGCCGTTCTCGAGATCTGGAAGCGGCACCCTGCACGTGCGGACGTGCAAAATGGGTCCCAACTGACTTGTGCACGGCACCCTACTAACCGGTCCCTAACTGTGTACCAAATTTGAGCGCAATCGGTCGAGCCGTTCTCGAGATCTGGAAACGACCCCTGCACGTGCGCACGTGCAGCAGCACCCCAACTCTGGCACATGTACAGGGTGATCGAAAAAAAAGTGTCACCCCTAACTTAAAATCTACATAACTCGCGACTGGTAGGTCGGATGATTTCGCGCCAGGCAGCATCGGAAAGAGCAGGCAATTTATTTTCAATTGAATGTATTCATGATTGTTTTCTATTCCAAATCATGTCCCCATGGGCTCAAAAACCAGTCAATGTGCGGCTTTCACGTGAAACGAAATTCACCGAACGGGATCGGACACCGCTGAACGAGAACAATGAGTATCGTAACTCAACATGACACACACCTTACACATTACACATGGAGTGTATGTTGTTCACTGCAGACTGTTTCTCAGCTGATCTTAGACTCGTCTTCACTCGAAGCTCCCTGAACTTCACTTCACTCGAACTTTCTCGCAAACATGCGGCCTCATTATTCACAAATTCGCCGGTAACTAGCGAAACATTGCGACAACCTGCACTCCCGGATTATCAATTTTATGCAGCGGTAACCATGGAACAGTTAAGAAAAATGCTCACGTGAGCTGTCACGTGAGCTGTCAGATCAAAAAATCTGTCAAAAGTACAAATTTGCACAACCAAACTTTTGAACACGCCAAATTGCGTCCTTAACATACTTTTTGAATAGCTACATATTCGTTTGCGGCATAAACCATGCATATTTACATCCATTCGAAAGGAAATTGTATGCTCTTTCCATTGCTGCCTGGCGCAAAGTCGTACGACCAACCAATCGCGAGTTAGATGGCTTTTAAATTAGGGGTGACACTTTTTTTCGATCACCCTGTATATGCAGTGCCTAGTGGGTGCCTACCTACATGCCAACTTTCAGCGCAATCGGCCAAGTAGTTACCGAGATATTGCAACAATTACAAAACTGACACCTCTTCGTTTTGCACGTGGCACGTGCATAAGGGGTCACCCACATGCATCGGGAATAGTCCAATACTTGGTAGAAGGAATGAAGCTACCCTACAAAAATTACCGCATGTAAATCGGTCAAGTGGTTGCTGAGATATAAGCCTCGCAAAAGCGTCCGCACGGCCGGCCGGCCGGCCGGCCGCTCATACTCAGAAATTTCCGTTATTCTACGTATCCGCTCGCTTCGCTCGCTCCGTAACAACACTAAGCTTGCGATGAATCAAAAATTAATATTACTATTTAAAAATTCCAAAGAAAAAATTTCATTGTTGAGCAAAAACCTTAATCTTTTTTCATTTGCCTCTAACCCGCGCCCCACTGGGGTCTGCGTATAACACGCCCTACTGGGGGGGGGGGGCTATTCATAGCCCCCCTCCTAACTCCGAAACTACTGGGCCGATCGTCAAAATTCAAACGGCGTCTGATAGCCCCGGAAAAACTGTCGAGCGAAACCTAATTTCATTGACCTCGAGGTCACCGATGACGTCACAGGTCAGGTCAAAGTAAAAATTATTAGCATTTTGGCTTCTTCACGTTTTGGGCTCTGGCCGCCGTCTTACAAGTCAGATCAGGCTCATTTTTGGTTCACATACTCGTGAACAGATGCTCTAGATACTCTGAGGGTACCAAGCTTGTACTTTGATTTTCAGGTCAAGGTCAGGTCATCACAGGTCACGAAAATATTATATCATCCGTCGGTCACGTGACACATGTTTTATGGTCCATTTAGGCCAAACATTTCGAATTTGATGCCGTCTGTGTCATTCGAGGTCATTTTGAGTCATATTTAGCTTAGGTCAGGTCACTTTCAGGTCAAAAAAGGTCAAATTTTGAAGTTAAAATTTTTCAACAAAAAAGGTGTCTATTGGATGCAGTTTGAGCTCAGCAACACGATGGTGCTATTTATATTGGCGTACGATGTCAAATTTGTGCTGAAAAATTGATTTGAAAAATCAATAATTGTTAATTTTTTGCAATAATGCGTATAACTTGGCCATTTTTGAAGATATTTAGCTAAAACTTGCTAGAGTTAGTCATAATAATGCGTTCTATCACATATATTCCGGTTTTTTTCGGAAAGTCAAAATTTTTTTGAAAAAAATGTAAAAATATACATTTTGAATTTTATTATATAAAATTTTCGAAATTTTCAAAATTCCGAAAATCCGAGATAGCAGTTTGATAGCGCAGTCTATTCTGAGTCCTCTCATGCAAAGAAATTGGATCTAGCTTAAAAACTGAGCTCTTGGGAGCGATTGCCGTGGTTCAATGTTTTGCGTCGAAATCGGCCGAACATGACGTCACTCTGACGTCATTTCCGGCCGACCTATGGTAGGTACGACGTTCAAATTTTGACACAAGGTGTCAAATTGATGCCTCCAAAGGTACTGAAAGTTTGGCGTTGATACGTCAAGCGGTTTGGAAGTTATTGCAGAAAAATGGGAGGGGGGCTATAAATAGCCCCCCCCCCAGTGGGGCGCGGGCTAATGACTTTTGGGACCAAAATTTTTCACATTTTTATTTTTTTCAAAATAATCTTCATGTCATTGCAAATCGACATGCAAAAAATTAGAAAGGTGTTCTTTCTATAAGTTCCTCATTTTCCCGCAAACAAAATGGGTTTCGGAGGGGTTGATACGACCCCAGCACGCCGTTTCGCTTCTAATAGAGCTAGAGCCTCGCGGAAAAAACGAGCGTGTGTGCCGTTACAAGTCGCAGCGATTGCTACCCGATTTTAAGGTCTCAGGTTAACCGGTAGCGTCTGAGGTCAGGTCACGTGACTGAAGTTACGGGTTCGGTTTTTAGTAAATAACTTCGCAAAAAATGGCCGCAGAGCCGCGATTTTGGCATTATTGTGTTCGCCTAGCTCAGGTGCATCGAATGGTATACTTTTTGCTAGGGTGAGGTCAACTTAAGTAGTTGACCTCGGGTCAAGGTCAGGTCAGAGCCCCTCAGGTCACGAAGCTGGGCAAAGGGTATCATATGGCATATCATTCGATTCGGAAGGTCTTCCCGAGTCCATTGGTGGCTTTCCCGACTCTCTAGCTCCATTTGATCGGGAGTTATTGACGAAAAACTCGTACGACCCTAGTGACGTCATAAATGACGTCACGCAAGGTTAACAATGCAAAAGTAAAGCATTGGACTTTGCAAGGAGTGCATGAAATCACGATACCATGTACGTGGGATAGTTTTAGATCATTCTCGGCGCCAAAATAACAGTTTTTATATTTCCCCATTGATTTATAACAGTGATGTCACGTGACCGACCTGACCTCATGTAACCTTGAAAAATTCCCAGATATACAAGTTGTGAGACCTCTGGAGGACACCATGTATGCGTCCTGTAGCTTTCATCTCGGACAGCTATGGTCATTGGCGTCCAAAACAATGTCAGAACCAAACAGCCTTTTTCACCCTCGCGCTTATAGGAAAGAGGGTTGAATGAACCCTCGTTTCACTTTTTTCAGATGACTCAGACTTGAATTGAAATTTCAGTAACCCGTGATGTCACTAGGCAGCTTTACCACGCCATTTGTAAGCTCCCCTCCCGAAATCACTAATCGAAACCGTTATCGTGACGTAAAATAAATACATTTATAGAAAGAACACCTTCCTATTTTTTTGCATACTTCTTAACAATGAGCCAAATATTTTTTCAAAGAAATAAAAATTCAAAAAAAAATTGGTCCCAAAGTCAAAAAATACAAATGAAAGAAAACTCGATATGTCATATATCAAAAATAGCGTATTTTTCGAAATTTCAAAAATACATATTAATCTCTGTTTCATTGCAAGTTCAATGTTATATAACATTTGGCATTTAAATAATCCGTCTTAGAGTTACAGCCCGCCAAACTTAGCGCTGCAAAGCAAGATCCAAAAAATGTTATACACCATAACTCAAAAAATACTTATCTGATAAGCCTGAAATTGTTACAGGTGGATTCAGAGCCCCTGATTACCCTGAGACCAATTCTCGTCAAATTCCTAGAGATGAGGGTGTCAAATTGGAAAAAAATGGTACGATCTATCGTGGAATGCCCCACACTCCAGCAAACAGGAGTGTACCTCATTCTCCTAAAATGATTATGGGAGCCCAGCTGTAGGGGTGCCAGGCCGCTTTGGGGCGCAATGGATATTCTTTATGGGGGGCAGCGAACAACTTGGGAATGAAAAAGTAAGTCAACTATGTATCATGAAAAAGAATGAAGAAGTGAGT